GTTGAGGGTCTCTCGAAAACTGAGCCTCATACTCTGCCTTACCACTTTGTGAGATAGTGGGCGAGTTTTATCAAATCGTTTTTTCGTAGCATGCAAACTCGTTAGTGCCGCTTCGAAATACGCTCTCAAGTGCACATCCGGAGCGAGTCTATGAGTGTTATTTTGCGCTGATTACTAACCGCCGAATTCAAAAACCTCACTCAAACTATACTCAAACTAAAAAGCCCCTCCACTTCCTCGAGGAAGGCTCAAGGGCCGGCGCTGGCCAATCGCGACGGCGGATCCGTCCTCGCGATTGGCCAGCGCCGGCCCTCGCGCCTTCCTCGAGGGAGTGGAGGGGCCCTTCAGTTTGAGTGTAGCTTGAGTGAGGTTTCTGAATTCGGTGGTAAGAACACCTTCTGGAAACGAAGAAGTTGAACAGCACAGCGTCAGATGACAATGATATGCGCCTTGGCGGCACAACTTTATGTAAGGTGAAAAGAAGGATAGCTCAGACACATAAAAAGAAGTCCGAAGAAAAAAATTTTTTTTTTCAATTTTTGTTTTTGAATTAAAAAAAAAAAAGTTTTTTTTTTTAAACGTTTAAGTCATTATACCGTACCTTCCTGATCCCTCTCGCATTCGCAAAACACGCTAATTTTTATAACATTAAGCGTAAATTTATCCTGCACTTTCCGTGTTTTTTTTGTTTTTTTTTTTTTTACTACCGCAAAACAGCAACCAAGATTGAAATTAACTTCAGTGTTTCTTTAACGCCTTGCATCCTCCAGCCAGATTGACCAATGAACTGTCACGAATGCTGGTCTACCAGTTAAACTATCAATTATATGAGGACTAATCTCGGTACTTGGGAAAAACTTGATAATCTTTTGTGCCTTAAACACTGTCAATTGTTGTTTAGAGCTGGATACAAAATAATAGCGTATGTAGGAACCGGATGTGTAGTCTCGATTGCAAATTGTAGGAGCACTCGCACCAGAAAACGAAAATGTGATCCACGATAACGAACACCAAGAGCGACTTCCCAGCATCGCCCTCATTCGTATCGGTGTCACCTCGTCCTGTTCATCTCCGTCATTATCATCTACATAAACGAAGCATGGTTCTCCAGATAGTCAAGACTCTCGGTGTCCTGGGAAATCAAGTGAACGAGAGGCAAAACATTGACTACCTGGTCTTGGTCAGCATGATCTGGCCTGTATATTTTTCATGCGCATGCGCGCTCGGGCTAGAATATAAGCGCTCTTAGGGCGCACGTGTGGAGAGCTTCCGCATCGCTCTAAACACACCAGTGGAATTCGCCAAAGCGGAAGAAGTTCCAGGAAAAGCGCGCATCTCTTTCGCTCATGATTTCGCACCACTAAACCTGCCATCCTGCACGAACGGACTATAAATTGCGAAGCCGCATTCATGCTGGACGCAAGCAGGATAATACACCGGGAGCGCTAAATAACTGCTCTTTGGAATCGTAGGGTGAAGTAAATGAGATACTAATATCATAATGTACCGTGAAGTTTGATAAAAATTTAATAGGAACAAGAATATGGCTTGTAATAATTTTTTACTTTTTTATTTTTAGTGTTCGGTGATTTGCCATTTTTGAAGGAAAACACAATGTATGTGCACGCCGAATTGGACGAAGTGAAGAAATTATAAATATAGTTAGTTCGTTATTTATCAATTGGAATACCGTTACGGATTAGCCGCAGCCTATAGTTAACACACGAAGAACCCTGCACGGCATTGCTATGGACGACTGGGCACTTTGTGAATATGCACGTAGAATAGTCGTGTTTTTTCAGTTCCCTTTCAGCTTAGTGGTGGCGCCGAGACTTACTACTCACAAAGCTCCCCTATGGTGTAGTGTCTTAGGCAAGATCTGGTACAACCAACTAGAGTAAACTAAAAATTATATCACTGAGGTTCCAAAGCCACCTTGAAAACAATATTTTCAGATTTTAATCGAGTGGTTCGACGAAAAGAAAAAAAGTAAGAAACTGACACGTGGCCAACTTACTGGGACATTCTGTGGTATAAAAGTTCTTCGGGGAAATATAAAAAAAAATGTAAACTATTTGCGTTTTGTGATACCCAGGCCAATTATAGTCCCCCAAAAAAAAACATTACAATATTTCGTTCAAAAAAAAAAAAAAGCAACAACAGAAGTTGACAATTCTGTGAACGTAACCAAATGCAAACAATAAGTAGAGCCGTGGAATAAAAACTTTACCTGTCCAAAAGTTTAATTACTACTTATTGATCTTTTATGATTGTCATCCAAAAAATATTCCGGAAAACATAACGATGTTTGTTGTTGTATGTTTAATATACTCATTTTAGTGCATGCGCCGAGGTGTTCATCTCCCAGAAAGTTGTGGAGAGTGATACACATATTTTATACTGTCTACTTTTTCCGGACCTTTTCTTCGTCTTTTTTTTTTTGTTGTTTTCTTTGTAGTTGTTAGTTTAACACCTTTGACACTCGCCGAAATGAAGTCTTGCGTGCTGTGCTGTGCTGTGGTACTTTGAGGCAGTGGTTGCTCTGCGTACGTTCTGAAGCTTCCGTCCGCATTTTGGATATAAAAAAAAGTGCTGCGGATTGTCATTAGCTCAGTAATTCGAAAGCTCAGAGCATCGCCATAAATATCTTCTCGCGCGACGCTGTATCGATACTTGATTTTTTTTTCTTTCTTCGTGGAATTTAATGTTTAAATTGCAGAGTCTCAACAAGAAAACGGATGCAGTAGCGCAACATTTAAAGCCAGACACAACCACCAATGCCTAGACTTACAGTGAGGAAATGTCGTGGTCCTTACCAAATATTAAAAAAAAAAAACGCAAAAAAAGCCGAGCTTTTTTAAAAAAAATTTTAAGCAGCGTACCAGATCGCATGTTGGGGCTCAAGACAAGCGCCACCTGCGTGAACATCCTCTTAAGTCTAGTTCTAGACACCAACACCGACACACCGTCACCGACACAAGGAGAACGGTAGTGAGGTCTTTCACATGTCCCGCCTCCAGCTCGAGCGTCCTACCTTCGATAAGGCTTCGGCGTCTCATGAGCTTCGAGCGTGCGCGCGCATCCAGAGCAGGACTGATGGCAACGAGCACGTATAGTGGACGTCGTGCCTCCGGAAGAGACACCCCGTCGTCCTCATCATCCCGATAACTATATAGGTCGTTCATCCCCGTCATCAAAAGAATCGTTCACGGTGGGGACGTGAGGCCTGTTGGTCGACAACAGAGCGACTCAGACGTCTTGCCCGGAGCGCTATTACGCTCCGGGCAGGACATTGTGGGAACAACCAAACCTGGCTGTTCTAAGATTAATGACGAGCCGCGGGCCCAGCACTCCCCTCCGCGCCAGGCTATTTCAGAAAGTGGCCGCACACTCACTTCCCGATACAGGACACTCGGAAGCTGGTTGTTCCGCGGAACCCCGCATAGCTTCACCGAAATCAGAAAGGAGCAAACTTGAATGTCAAGGTTCGGAAACGAACAGCCGACGAAACTGTGCCGCCCTCTCTTTGTTGTGGAGATTTGAGGACGTAGGGAACTAAAAAAAAAGAAAAAAAGAAGAGACATAACAGTGCTTGGAGCCAAAAGGGAGTCTTTGTGCCCACATAGAACGCGTGGAGATAATCAAAGATCGATCACTCCGTATCGCGATTTCCCCCGATTGTGTGCGGCGGCAGCCGCTCGGCGATCTTTTAAGTGTCTCCTCCGTCAAAGGCAGGGGGCCTCCATTTATCGAGCTAGCTGTACCCTCGTTTCTCCGCGCTTCGGCGAGCTCCATTCGAAGCTCTACTCCGTTCTACCTTTCGATGGACCACGGTGGACGCTGCAGGTCATCGCAGCCAATTTAGCGCTGCGAACATATCACCTGACCACGTGCCCTTGCTCGTCACTGCGCCCTTCCAGAAGGTCACGCGACACTCACAGGGAATTCGATTGGGTCTGATGGCTCGTGGCGTGCCCTGCGGTCCATCGCAAAAAGACACGGAGTTTAGTTATGAGCAGGCCAAGGGCACGACCCTCGGTCGCGATGCAGTGTAGCGCACTCGCATTCCCCCAAAAGGCTTCTGGTTTTATTGTTACGTTGGCGGAGTATGCCGACACGTAAATGTAGGGCCCTTTACGGCGACGCGCTATTGTCATACAGGCGCCATGGAGTTTGGTATAGCCGCCATTTTTTGGGGTCTTTGGTATTCAAGAAATGCTCAGCGCCATGAAACCTTGCGAGCCAGCATGCAAGGAGCGTACGAGATCGAGCTTACGTACTCCATCTCGATAGATGTTGTTTTTAGAAAACGCTAGTGGTTATGATAATACAGGCCGGTCTGAATTTCACCCACGTCGTGACCAAAAGGAATTCAAAGACTGACGGCGAAGCGTTTCTGATTTGTAAGGGTTTGTGATGAGGAAACGGCCAAGATTTAGTGGTAGGAAGATGTCATCCACGCGTGAGTGCTTCTTCCGCTACAATAACGAAATTACTTGTAATCCAGTTATTAGTAATTTTGTACCGGAATAATTAATCATTTTATATTGGCTGTAGTAATTTTAAAGTAATTTCCTTACATATTCACGTAACCTTTTCACTGTAAATCGTTACATCTTTATTCAAAAATAAAAAGATGGAATTTAAACCACCAGATAATTGCCCTCCAGTCAAGAAAGGAAAAATACAACCTGCAAAACATATTTTGACTCGGAGAACACTTATTCGTGGCGAGAAGCTCGCTAGGGGCGCTGCTGTTTTCCTCACTAAGGGTAGTGCACGTGCTACCCTCGCGATTGTGTTTTAATTTCTATAGTGCATAGTAGTAGTAGTAAACAATACTTATTTGCCCAAGCATGTGTTAATGACTGAACGGGAGACCCGTAGGGTCGCCCCGCCAGCCACCCCTCAGACGGCGGCCTGAACCCTCTGGGTTTTGGCGGCGTCTTCGGCCAGCTGGACTAGTTGGTTCTGCACCGTGGGGTCGGAGCAGAGGAGTAGGGTTTCCCAGCTCTCCTGGTTGTCGATCTTCTCCAGTAGGGGGTGGGACTTACGGTCGATCTTGCTGCACTCCCACACCATGTGTCGGAGGTTGGCGTAGCCGCCGCAGAGCTTGCAGTTTGGCTTGTACTTGTCGGGGTACCATTTATTGAGTAGGGAGGGGCTCGGGAAGGAGCCCGTCTGGAGGCGGCGCCATGCCACCGACGTCCTCTTGTCCAGCGAGGGGTGCGCGGGTGGATAGCGTAACCTCTCGCCAGTGTAGTGATCGAGAATGTCCCTGAATGTGACCAGCCTGTCACCCTCCGAAGAAAAAGCCAGAGAAGGGTCCAGCGGTTCCCCGGCCCGGTGAGCGAGTTCTCGGGCCGCGCCGTGTGCCTTCTCGTTGCCGGGGAGCGACGAGTGCGCCGGTGTCCATATGAGCTGTACTTTTGTTGACGTCTTCTCGGGGTCGCCCAGGACCTTGAGCGCGGCTGTAGAGATTCTTCCTTTGGCGAACTGCCGGATGGCTTGCTGCGAGTCGCTGACGACGATGCGTGCCCCCCGGACTCGGATCGCAAGGGCAATGGCCACCTCCTCCGCGACTTCCGGTTCCGACGTCTTGATACTGCAGCTCGAGATCACTTCTCCTTGTTGGTTGACCGCTGTTGCGACCATGGCGCCCCCCCCCCCTCCCCCCCCCCCCCCCCCCCCCGGCTCTAGCAGCGTCCGTATAGAGGACGCCCTCCGCGATGCTTAGCCGTTTCTGCAGCGCCTTGACTCGCGCCGCTCTGCGTTCCGCGTGATGCGTCGGGTGCATCTGCTTTGGGATGTTTGGTATGACGAGGGCTTCCCTGACCCGTCTAGGTACGTCGGCCTTCTCCCCTGTTTGCCTCTCGTAGCGGATTCCAAGGCTGGCCAAGATGTGGAGGCCCGTGGCACTCTTCGTCAGCCTCTCCAGCTGCGAAACACGCTGAGCTTCTATGATCTCCTCTACCGTGTTGTGCAGACCTAAAGCCGCGAGCTTCTCGTTCGAGGTGGTGTCCGGGATGCCGATTGCTCTCTTGTAGGACTTTCTGATGAGACAGTTGAGCTTGTTCGTTTCCGTGAGGCCGAGTTTTAGGAAAGGGAGGACGTACGCCAGCCTACTGACGACGAAAGTCGTCAGTAGGCTTTCGTCGTCTATAGTGCATAGAAGCTTTGCATTGCACGTGCTTGCGCTAGCAGACGAAGTTGAAGTATCCTCACTCTGGATCGGCGGCGATACCCATACTTCTCGCCGCGTATACACCGACACGCGGGCTTGACGTCACGGAGCTGCGGCGGCGCTGCGATCGCGCCGGAGCCGGGGGGTGTGGGCAAAAGCGCGCACGTTTCGCATGGGCGTCATAGCATTTCAGCATGCCGCGAAGCTGTGTTGCCGTTAATTGCGCCAAAATGTACAAGAAAAGCAGTGGAGTGAGTTTTCACAAGTTCCCGGCAGACTCTGAAACGCAGAGAAGGTGGATAATATCCGTGGATCGAAAAGAATGGTCGCCTCGCGCGAACGACCGTTTGTGCGGCAAACACTTTCTTGGAGGCAAGTGCGGTTTCCATTTCAATCTCCGTCCCGAGGCTTGCTTATGTGCAGGGAAACAGTTGTCTGATCGAGACCACCCGGATTTTGTTTCCACGGTGTTAGCGCACAACGCACCCGGGCACCCCCCCAAGCGGTCGTCGGAGGCTCGATACGCCCGTGCTACCGAGCAGAAGGGGATCGACGACAGAACGGCACTGTTGGCGGCGTTACCAAAAAAAAGTAACGAAATACGTTACTCGTTACTTGCAAATCAAAGGTACGCGTTACTGAGCTACGTTATCTAAAAATAAAAGGACGCGTTGCCGCTACCGATAAAAAGTAAGGCACGTTACTTCTGCGTTACTTTTTTAAATTATGATGTAACATATTTTACGGTTTTGACGATACAGGTCATATATCAAGAAACATTATGTTTATGCAGAAACTGAACATAATTACTTTAGCTCTTTTCACGGTTTCACCTAAATACTTACGAGAAAAAACGCAAAGAAAAACATGGCTTGACGCCTAAAACACGGAAACAATTGAAGTGTAATTTCTTTAAGACTTGGGAAGCAGTAACGACTAACGTAACTACGTTACTTGAAATAGTAACGGAGGTACGTTACCCGTTACTGTGCCGAAAACGTAACGAGTAGGTTACTACGTTACTGAAAAAAGTAACGCGTTCCTGGTAATGCCGTTACTTGTAACCTGTTACCGCCAAGACTGCAGAACGGACAAACTTTACTGGTTGTAATGCCTTGTGGTCATGAGGGTATGAAAAATATCATACCTTGACTTGAAGACGCTCTGTGTATTTAATCAATTAATGAATACACACACTTCCGCAGACCCACAGTCTGCCGATCCCGCCGGCAGTGCGGAAACCGACTCAATGTAATCGTAGACCTCGAGAGACTTGTACGCCTGCACCGTGTCGGCCGTGAACTGGCTTGGCGAAAAAACTAAATAAACGACGACCTGAGCCGTCGACTTCCGTGGCAGCAACTTTACGTCGGAAGTCCAGCAGGCCTTGTTTACGGCGTACGGATCCTCGTAGGCAACGCCGTCCACGCACAGTTTGTTTCGATACCGCTACCGTTCGGGCTCGGGCAACGAGCTCAAATATAGTCGGGCATAGCATACGACATACGTTATGAGGAAATACGACGCACAAATAAAGATACAAGCGTCCCTACAGCGTCAACAACGAGCGCACGCCATAGAGCGCAATGGCGAAACCACGGACAGCCGGGCTGCTTTTGCCCACATAGCTACCGCGCATGCGCGGCCTCCCGGCCGTGTTGGTAAACAGAGCCGCTCCGCGTGTCGGTCTATAGACAGTTGCAAGCAAGGCGACTGGCCACCGCCATGTCTCCGCTCGTGCGGGCAAGCTTAGCTATATCAACGCGCAAGCTGCACGTGCTTGCACATGGGGCACCATACTCTAACCATACTGAGACAGAAGCGATCAGCTATACTCCAACACTCTTAAACTGAGAATACAAGCGCGAGCTAACCTCTTATTCACTGGACGCTATATTTGAGGGCGATGTTGGGAACGCATGATTGATTGATTGAAACGTTTATTTAATTTCCATGCCTCTGTTCTATGGAACCTCATGCGGCATGGGGGAAGGGGAAGTGGGAAAGGGGTAGTGATGATGGTGATGGATTAGACGTACTGTCCGATCCCGGAGGACCGGAGGTAGGAGATGATTGATGTGAAGATGAGGTCTTGTTCTGCGGGTGCTGAGGTTCTCGGATGTGTCCATTCCCGAAGGGTCATTGGTCTAAGGTGCGGTGGTAAGGTGTTAATTGCCGCTATTCGTTCTAGTGACGTCCCTGCACAGGACCATACAAGATGGTAGCAAGTCGCAGGGACGCCGCGCTGTAAACATCCAGGGTCAGGACCTATGTCATTCTCATCTGTAGGCTTGTATAACTTGGCACACCAAAAGGGAGTCACCATAGTCCGAGTCTGGAGCCTGTGTAGTGCCACTTGCTCCCATCGTGGAAGCCCGCGAGGGATCGGGTTGGGGTTAGGAGGTAGTAGCGCTTTAAGGCGCGCTTTTCGTGCTCTTTGTTCTTCTTTCTTCTTTTGGGTTAGATCAAAGACGTCCCTTGGAACGGGCGAGGACCGGGCCTTGTGAGGGCTGAGTATTTGCCTGTAGCAGTGCCCTCGCGGCCCCGTCCGCCCGCTCGTAGAACGAGCTGACACTAATAGGCTGCTAAGACCGACAGTCTCGATGGTGCAGAATGCACGTTGCAAAAAAACTGTGGAAGCCCGCCACCACTACGCGCTCAGCAGTCGAGCACACGGCTATGGCCGACAGCCAGTGCTCGTTTTGTGGAAGAACTATAAAAAGCAGCAACCTCGTGCTCTCGCGCTTGTTGCATTGGCTGTAGTCTCAGCTTAAAGGGATTGTCCGGTGATATCCGGAAATTACTAAGTTTTTGCGCTGGTCACGTAGAGAAAACCTAAATATAATATAGTTAGATGCAATATTTATTTTATTAAATGACGCCCCAATATTCGTTAAATCAATTATTAACATCAATACGAAACTTCATTCCAAATTTCGCAAATATGGATGGCTGGTCGTGTTGTGACGCCACGTCAGGCATGGTAACGTCAGAGGCGAGTGCGTTGTCTTAGTCCTGGTTTTGGTCAACATGATTGATGATGCGTAAAAAGATGATCGTTGAAGAATTGAGCTTCCCTCAATACCGTAAATCTTGTCTGTCTTAGAACGAAGTTATTTTATTGTCACATCAGTCAAGAGCTGTCGTGGCTCGCTTTGTATGATGTTACGAAAGAGCTTCCGCTGTGGCCAACGAAAACGTCGTCTGTTTTGCAGGTGCAATCTGAGCAGTTGGGCTTTGTTTAAGATTGAATTACTTGTGCGGCCGAGGATTGAAATTTGAATACTGCGCGGCTAATTTTCCTAAAAGCAATGCCAATATAAATTAATTGTTTTCTGAAAGACAACACTTAACCGGACAATTCCTTTAAGGGCGAACCGAGTATAACGTAGAGACTATAGACCAACACGCTGTTTACATGCAAGCCCACGTGTGCCGACAACATGCGTGAGCAATGCGCGTGCGCAGAAACCATGATGGCGTGAGAGGAAGCGTCTGCGCATGCGCAATACCAACAGCAGCGCTACCGCTGCGGCGTGACGCGTCAGAGAGTCGGTGTACAGTCACCGACGGCTTACAATAGGAAGCGCCATGGCGTGGTGAGTCCTTATTGCCGCTTCACAGCCAATCAGAAGTCGTCATTAAGCCCGATTCACACTGTGCGCTTTTACTCGCAATTTCGCATGATGCGGCAGTGAGCACCGCAGCTTCGACCATGCTTTTATTTTTCTTTCCGCACGAGTGATTGACGTTGTGGAAAGTTTCCTTCACCGTGTTGCCATGGCAAACACATTTCTTTACTAGACAGCAGCAGTGGGGGAACCTGCAACGAATTGCTAACTAGCTCGTAGCTCCCGTCTTTTCTGCTAAATGTTATGACTTTTTCAACAGAATAAATTTTCTTCAGTTTACGCGTTTTGTTATTCGCAAGTAAAAGCGCACCGTGCATGAATCAGGCTTTTACGTATAAGAGCGACGAATAACCAATCAGAAAGCAAGGGGCGCGTTTGTGGGTGACGATACCAAGTGTATACGGATTCGCCCCCTTTGAGGGATACACCGGACACATAGACAGCTGCTGTACCAATGAGCAATGATGTCATTTTGGATGCACTTCATCTTGTGTCGTATGGGCATAGCAACGAGATTTCCTGACCTCATTTTTTTTTTTAGGCACCCCATACTCGGCAAAAAGCACCCCTTTTTGTTTTAAATTAAGTACGTGCCTAAGAAAAAACGCCACGCGTGAACCACGTGGTCGTGCGTACATAGTCTTCGATCATGTAAGAGATCACGAGCTGCCGCGCCTGCCTTTAATAGTAATAATAATAATAATAATAATATTAATAATAATAATAATAATAATAATAATAATAATAATAAGAAGAAGAAGAAGAAGAAGAAGAAGAAGAATAACAAGTAGCTGCGGAAACTCCTCGTAAATCAATTGCAAAAAAAAAAAACACAAAAAAACCTTGATACGTATTTGCATAAATGCCTAGACGCCGTCTCCTGGCACCAGAACAAATTTAGTTGTATCTTAATTCTATATGTTGTGTATCTAAGGGCATGGAGTAATCGTAGTCGTTACGAATAAACCTTTAGGACACATGGAAACAACTATTTACAATCAGGGTGATTCCGGTATTGGCAGACGTCAGCGTTCGGCTGGCTCGCTGGCTCGCGTCGGTCAGCTCGAGCTCGCTTCTTCCTCGTCGTTCCGTCTGTTTACTCTTAGACACAACCACCGTGGACACAACACTATACTCTGTTTCACCTTGTGTTGTACCGCAGGGAAGGCTACAAGCCCGAGCTCCCTGCTCTATAGCACATCTCGGCGGCACAAGCTCTCGTGCGTTAAGGGCAGCTGCTAACGTTATGAGCTCGCGCTTCTAGCCTTCGCTGCGGTACAACGTAAGGTGAAACGGAGTAGAGAGA